GTGGGGGGCGAGGGAGGGGCCAGCTACCATGGCAACGGTCCAGGATCCCAAGCTTACTGGGCTGGTGGTGGGGTAGGAGGGGTGGGGGGTGTTGTTATACATGCCAGGGTTGGAGCTGAGGAGTCTCGGGCCAGATGAGAGGGGATTCTTTCAGACACTTGCTGTAGGGTCCTTGTGTCCTGTCCTGTATAATTAGGCCCCGTTCGGGTATGCGGAATAAATCACGGCCTTCATGCGGAGCCCAGTACAGCTGCAGGCGCTTTATAAAGGGGGTGCTGTCTGTGCTGTGGGGCTGCAGCTCAGCTGGGCAGGCCTGAATTCTGCCTGGGAGGGCTTCTCCGCAGAGCATAGCCAGCAGGAGGGCCTCACTGGCTCTACCACCATGGCTTGCTCTTCTGGGGTGGCTCAAAGCAGAGATGTGTTGGGCGTTGCCTGTGACTCATCCAAGTTCATCAAGACTGATATCACTAATTCGGCAGCCATACAGCACAGCTAAATCAGCATCTTTAGTTTCAAAACACTTAAAGTTTTCAGTTGAAGTATTTGAAATTAAGGCTGAGAATATAGCCCAGCCAGCACAGGGTTCCATCCTCAAGGCTGCATAAACCTGTGTTCCCTGCACTTCAGAAGCAGAGGCAGGAAGATGAGAAGTTCAAGGTCATCTTTGGCTACATAGTGAGTTTGAAGCCAGCCGGAGTTACATGAGATCTTGTCTCAAAAATAAACAAACAAAATATTTGCAATTATTTGTGCTTAACATCTGGAAAGGCCCTACTACCCAATGGCATCTATCTTCAGTTTGTCTTTTCACACAACACTGTGCAGCTGGGGACTGTGCCCCCTTTGGCAGTTGAGGAAATCAAAGCTCAGAGAACTGAGTCATTCACCCTGTGGCAAACTCTAGCAAGTGGCAGAGCCTGGCTCTACACCCCAGCACATGTCACTGCAGAAGTAAGGCTTTATGTGCATTTGCTCCTTTCTGTTTGCCTGGTGCATCTTAACATAAGAATTCTTTTTTTTCGGGGAGAGAAGAGTTGAGACAGGGTTTCTCTGTGTAACCCTGGCTATCCTGGAATTCACTCTATAGGCCAGGCTGGCCTCAAACTCACAGAGATATCTTGCCTCTGCCTCCCAAGTGCTGGGATTAAAGGATGTGAGAATTCTTACACTCCTCTCTCTCTCTCTCTCTCTCTCTCTCTCTCTCTCTCTCTCTCTGTGCACACACACATATATAAAACAGGAAACCCAACTGAGTGTCTAGGTGGTGACTTCACCAAGTTCTAAAGGCCTCTTAGGGAGAAAATTAAAGTGGCACCTAAGGAGTTGGGGGTATAGCTCACCAAGAGTTTTCCATGGAAGCAAGAAAACCTGAATTTGATCCCCAAAACCAATGTGAAAAAAAACCTTGGTGTGGTAGATGAGCAAGTTCTAAGCCAGGGAGAGACCCTGTCACTGAAAACAAGGTCAGGGGTTGGAGAGATGGCTCAATAGTTAAGAGCACTTACTGTCCTTGCAGAGGAACTGGGTACTTCCAGTGTGAGTGAGTACCCAGTTCTTCTGCAAGGACAGCACACTCACACTGGCTAGGGATGCAATTGGCTGCCTTGAGCAGAGCATTCTTGGACTCACATTGTTTTTTCATTTTTTTCTGAGGCGAAGGATTGAATAGAGGGCCTTGTGCATGCTGGGACTTGAGATATTCCTTCAGCTCATCAAAGGTTTTCTGTTACTGAGGTAGCTTTAAGGACATTGGAACTTTTACAATTTTAGGGAGCTGAGCTGTGTGTGTGTGTGTGCAGTGTGTGTGTGTAGGCCAGAGATAAACCTTAGATTTGTTCCTTAGATGCCACCTGCCTTTTTTTTTTTCTTGACAGGGTTTCTCTGTGTTCCAGCACTGGCCATCCTGGAACTCACTTTGTAGACCAGACTGATTTTGAACTCACAGAAATCCACCTGCTTCTGTCTCCTGAGTGGTGGGACTAAAGGCATGCACCACCAGTGCCTAACTGGCACCCATCTTTTGTTATTGTTGTTTGAAACAGGGTCTCTCACTGGCCTGTAGCTTGCCAATTAGGCTACAGTGGCTGATTGGTGAACCCCAAGGACCCACCTGTTTCCTTCCCCCAACACTGAGGTTATAAATGTATACTACCATGCCCAGCCTTTAAAAACAACTTACTATGATTGTTTATCTATGTGGGTATATATGTGCCATGGCATGTGATAGAAGTCAGAGGACAACTTATAAGAGTTGGTTCTCCTCTTCCACCATGTAGGTCCTAGGGATGGAAGCCAGATCATTAGGCTTGGTAGCAAGCACCTTTACCTGCTGAGCCATCTCAATGGCCCATGTCCAGTTTCTTAAAGTGTGGATTCTGAAGATCGAGCTCAGGACTTTATGCTGGCAAAAATAAGTTCTTCACCAACAGGTCTATCTCTCTAGCCCCTGGGTTTGGTGATTTTGACAGTGCCTCACTGTGTAGATGAGGCTGGGTCTAACTCACTGTCCTTAGCTTCCTTAATTGTGGTCTGAGAGCAACAGATTTGAAGCATGATTCTGTATTGGTTGAGTGCTGCATTGATTCTAAGGAGGAGCTGCCAAATTTAGAAGGGAGTCATGGGGGGTGAGGCCATGACTATGACAGAGACACAGGTAAAGAGAAGGAGCTGACTACAGTGGGTGATTGGGCATGGCACCAGAGTCCTTGGCTGCTGTGTAAATGTCTTGGGTGAGGTCAGAGCACAGATGCCCGGGGGAGGGTGAGGGATCACAGAAGTGAAGGCTGTAGCCACGGCCACATCTGCTGCCTATTGTGTGGTAGGAGGAGCCGAGGTCACCTGTGCTTGGACACTGGCCCCATCTCAGCTTGGTTGTTGTCACAAGACTATGTCCACTGTCTCTCTCTTCCCCTCATGCATATTCATGCCTCCACGCACATATTCAATACACTAACTCTGAGTTACTCCTTAATGATGGGTTTC